GGCAGGGAAGCACAGGCAGGGCAGGTTCTGCCGCAGCCTCGGGAGGCATCTCCCCCCAGCTGGCACCTTCTGCATCCCTCCCTGCTCAGTCAAGGGAAGCAGATCGCCCTCCAAACTGGGGCAGCCTGCAGAGCCGCTGCTCCCTCCTGCCGAGATAATGCTGGCGCGGAGCCACTCTGGCTCCTGCCGCTGCCGTGAAGCGTTTCCTCATCTAAGCAGGAGAGCTGCCAAAGCCTGGCTTGGAAGCAGGGCTTTCCAGTGGCCGTGCCCCGGCGCTGGCAGCGCACAGGGTGACGGCGGCAGTAGCTGTGCTGTGCCAGCAGTGCTCACACCCCCCTGCCCTCCGCGGGCCGGTGTCCACCCAAAGGCCGTGCTTTGCCCGGGAAGCTGCCCTGGGAGGCAGGAGCAGCCCTGGGGCGAGGCGAGGCGCTGCCGAAACCCGGCTGAGTCAGCCCCGCTGCCGAGCATCCCCGGCAGCGCCTCGCAGAGACAGCCAGGTGGAAGGAGAGCCTGGGCTGGAAGGAACACGTGTCCGAGGAGAGGGATTTGTGCTTTTCTGTGCGCTTTCAGTCCTCAGAGGTCCTCACAGTCCCGCCTGAGAGACCCTATGGCATGCTTGACCTCCACTGGGTAATCCAAGAAGGCAGGAGGCTGGAAAAGGCTGCACAGGAGATACTCTCTGCCTTGCTCTAGTCTTTTCTCAGCTGAATGTTCAGTGAAGCTGTCTCTGTGACCCCAGGGCTCCTGGTGGGCTGGCAGTGCCCACTCCTGGGTGCTGCACTGGGCTTGGTGCTCACCATCCTGCCTTGGAGCGTTTCAGGGAATTGATGTCACGCCACGGTGTCCTGCAGAGGTCTGGGCAGTGCTTCGACACCCAGACTCTTCCCCATCTCTCCCAAAATGTGTCTTGAGAGCAGTGTGAGGGCTCACCAGCCAAGGGGGTGTCAGCTGGGTTTTTGGGTGACTTGCAGCAGCCCAGGTGTCCCAGCCCTGGTGTGCCAAGAACACTAAGGACCCTGAAGATGAAGGTTCATTTTCCCAAAGGTATGAAGCTATGGCCCCTCCTGCATGGTCAGTAAACTTGTATAAATCTCCTCACCCGAGTTCTGCTGGGAGATAGAAACCAAAGGTTGAATGGCCAGGCTGCTGTACCAGCCGGATTCTCATCTCTGTATTTTGAGCCTGGTTGGGCTCAAAATAATGAGAAATGTCCAGAAATGGGTTCTAAGTGACTGCAGGGCAGAGCACCCCCAGCCCCTGCAGGTGGACCTGCTGGACTCCCTCCATTCCCATGCCAGAGGAGCGATGGCTGGGGACAGGATGCCGCTGGGGGTTGAGCAGGAAGGTCCCTTTGCTGGATTCCATGCTGAAGGCATTGCCCTGGCACTGCTGAGGGACTGTGCCTTTCAACAACGCTCTGCTCTGATGGGCTGTGCGATCAAACCCTCACCCCTGCCCAGGCCGGGTCTCTTCGCACCTCATTGTGCTGATCGTGGTGAAAAGTAGCCCAGGCAAGAAGAAGAACGGCCAGGGCTCCCTGGGATCACAGCTGAAATATTCCCTGTTCACAGATCACACTGAGCCATTGTCCCCTGAGCAGTGCCTGCCTTACACCTCCTTTCCTGGGCTCTTCTCAAGCCCAGCTCCTTCCCTGGCTCCCTACAGCCAGGTGCTTGCCCCCAGGCTGTCCCCACTCCCTCCTGGGTGCCACATCCACAGGGTGATGCTGGCAGTGACACGGGGTCCTCCAGAATGGGGGGGATGAGTCCCCCTGCCCCTCACACGTGGCCACCAATCCAACCCCACCCAGGGTTGGTGTGGCAAGGGGCGGGATGTGGTTGAGACAGCGACACAGGGCTGGTCCTTTCTTTGATCCCATCTCTGCCTCCTCACTCCCAAGTGATCTGAGTGAAATTAAACACATTTTAGTAGTCAAATCCATAAGGGTGGGTCCCACTGTGCTTTGACCCTACAGGGCATTTTGTACATTTAATTTGATTTACACCGAAATATTAATTTAATGTGCTAGATGTTCTCCCACACCCAAGTAATGCTGAAAATTATACAAGATCCTACAGAAATGTTTGTGCCATTACCTCGTTAGCATCATTATTTATCGAGTTTAATTACAGTGCTGAAGCAGTAGATGCAGCACTGGGAGCATGGAGAAGGACATGGCCACCCAGTGATGTGTCTGTGGGCTGCCTTGCTGGCAACAAGGATCCCCAAAGATCCCATTTCCTGGTGCTGCCTGTGCCTCCCTGCAGTGCTGTTGGTGGGGTCGTGCTGTGAGCACGCTCCTCAGGCTCCTCCAGGTTAGGAAATACCAAGGAATGGTATTTGTAGGAAAGGCAGTATGGTTTTCCTATGGGCTCTGGCCAAGCAACACCAGCCATCAGCAGTCTGCATTTCCACCTGGTGGCTCAGCACGTAGGCAGCCCACTGCCACTGGAATGCTCTCCTTCATGGAGCTGCTGCCTCTCCATGCAGCTCCTCTTGCCTTGCCAGAGGCTGCAGGACTTTCTCTTCACTCTGTGTCTCCTCTGGTGGCTCAGCACGTAGGCAGCCCACTGCCACTGGAATGCTCCTTCATGGAGCTGCTGCCTCTCCACGCAGCTCCTCTTGCCTTGCCAGGGGCTGCAGGACTTTCTCTCCACTCTGTGTCTCCCGTGGTGCTGGGCACACCTCAGCCCTGACCACTCGTGTCAAGGCTCCAGAGCTCATGATTATAATAATAATAATATTATTATTATTTTTTTTATTGTTGTTGTTGTTGTTACTGTTATTATTCCTGATTCAGCCATGCTTGTAACTGCACGTCTGACTTAGAGCACCCGGTGGAAGTGGAGTGTGTGCTCCAGGACCTCATTAAATGAGAACCTCAAAGCAGGATTTGAGAAAGCCCAGATGACAGTGAAGTCGTCTCAGCGAGCTCTTGGCTTGGGAGCGCTCTGATTAATGTCATTTGCTACCTCTTTCGGCTTAAAAGACAAGGAGTCCTTAAAATAAAAGAAACCTCAAGTTAAAAGCACTGAAAAAAAAAATCAATTAAGCCCCACATAGCTGTATTTTGTCCTGGAGCAAAATCTCAGACATAACAGAGAAATTACATAGCCTGAAAGAGAGAAAGGGAAGGTTTTTTGTGCGGTCTCGCTGAGGTATTGCCCGGAGCCATGCTGAGGTGGCTTCCCACCTGGTACCTGTGGAAACTGTAAATTCCCCACAGGAGCAGGGGGAGCGAGTGTGTGCTGGGATACCCTGGTGGAAATGCAGACTGCTGGAGGAGCTCTCTGGCAGAGCATCGCCCGATGTGGGGCTGAGCTTTGCCCCGGGGGCTGCACAGGACTAACGGGGACATTGCAGCCAGCAGAGCTCTTTCATCTGGCCCTGGTCTCTGAAGGCGTGCTCCTTCCAGAGGCTCCAGCCCCTGAAGTTAAATCTTGGTCTCCGTGAAACCGACAATGAGACTCCCATCAATTCCCCCGGGTGTGCTCTGCCCTGCGGGGCAAAGCGGCTCCCCCAGGGAGGAGTGGCTCCCCTTGGAAGGAGCGGGGAAGCAGCTCCCGGTGCTCATTCTCTGCCGCAGGGATGAGCCTGGGGACGGAGGCACCAAGTGCGTTTCCACTGCTTTGAATAAAAAAGCAGATTGAACGGGGGACGGGAGAAGGAATCCCTGACTGTTGTCAAACACCCAAGGCCACGCCACGCGCAGGCTCTGCTCTGCTCGCGGACTTCTTGTGGGTTTTCTTCTGTTTCTTTTGCTTCCTTCCCCAATACCCTAACCTCTTGTCTTTGTTTCATTTCCACTTTGGGAAGAGGGGGAAGACGACAAGAGGCAAATAAAAGAAAAAAAAAAAAAAAAGCAGGGAGGGAGAGAAAAGGCTGTGACACGTTTTGAATTTTAAATCAATGACTGAAAAAGAATAAATTTATTTTTTTCTTTCTGAACAGAAGAAAAGCTAGTCATTAAGAAAAGTAATAAGAACTTTCTCTTCCTGCTGCTGCCCCGAGGACAGCTCGGCCTCTTTCCCGGCAAGTCCTCCCCTCGACGGGCAGTCCCGGGGGGTGGTCTCTGCTCGGTCCCCGTGGGCGGCGGGACCCGCACTCACAAATAGGGAGTAACGCCGGCCCCCATTCCCGGCAGGGCATCCCGGTGCGGCGGAGAGGGGCAGCGGCTGCGGCCCGGCGGGGGCTGCGGGGCTCCCTCCCCGGCTGGGTTTTTGGATTGGTTTGGTTCTTGGTGCGGACGGCAGCGCAGCGCCCGCGCCCCGTCGGGCTGCGGGCGGGCGAAGCGGCCGCTGCGCCCCGAGCCCAGCCGTGCCCCCCGCCCTCGCCATGCCCAGAGCCTTCCTGGTGAAGCGCCGCAGCCCGCAGCCGGCGGTGCGCAGCTGGGATGGGCTGCCCGACGAGGAGAGAGCCGACACCTACATCCCAGGTACGGCCCCGCGCCGGCGGGGACGGAGGGAGCGGGGTCCCCGCGGGCCGCGGAGGGGCCGGGGGAGCCCCGAGGGGGCGGGCGGCTTAGAGAGAGCTGTGCGAAACGCGGCGGAGGGGACAGGGACAACCCTGCGGCAGGGGTGCCAGCCCCCCCGTGCCCGGCAGCGTCTCCCACCCCGGGGAGCCCCCGGGAATTTCTGACTGGTTTTCTAGTCTTTTGGCATCTTTTCAGAAGGTTTTGATCAGTTTTGGCAGGTTCTAAGCTATTTTGTCGGGGTTTTGGAATGTTTTTGTTGGGTTTGTTTTGTTTTTTTTTTGTTTTTGTTGGGTTTTTTTTTTTTTTTTTTTTTTTTTTTTTTTTTTTTTAATTTTCAGACGTTAAATTCTTTTGCAAACATTCATGCCTTAGGAAGGGCTGGAACAAAGCTCAGCTGCTCCAACCGGTCGGACAGGTAAGCAGACTTGTTGACACCGTTATGTTTGCAGCACGCATGCTCCTTCCCAAGTTTCCTGGTGCATTTTTCTATAGAGAGAGCTGTGCGAAACGCGGCGGAGGGGACAGGGACAACCCTGCCCGGGCAGCGGCAGGGGTGCCAGCCCCCCCGTGTCCGGCAGCGTCTCCCACCCCGGGGAGCCCCCGGGAATGGCGGGGCGGGGAGCGGACCGGGGGGGAATGTGTGTGTGTGTGTGTCCGGGAAGGTGGGAAACCTCGTTTGCATGAGAAAGGTGGCTGGGGGAGGAGAAGGAAGGACCCAGGGCGGGGTGGGGGGGGTGATGTACTCCTGGCCTCCCCCTCTCCTCCTCCTCCTCCCGCTCCTCCTGCCCTTGCCCGGGGTATAACGGGAAGGCGGCGGAGCTGGCTTGTTTGAACTTTGGGACCGTTCGTGTTTGAGTTTCCGATTGCAGCGTGAGCCGGGGATCCTCCCCCGCCCCAGCGGCCCGCCCGCAGGTTAAACACCGGCTCCCGCCCGCCGCCCCCTGCCCGGCCCTGCCCGCGGCTCCGGGGTCCCCCCGCTTTATCAAAGCATCCCCACCCCGTTGCAGGCGGGATCGGCTGCGTGCTGCTGGGCTACGAGGACAGCTGCAGCCTGGAGAGCAGCGGCAGCAGCGGGACCCGGGACGCCGAGCCCAGCGACCCCCCGACGCCCCAGCCTGCCCCCGGCGAGCTGGGCACGGGCGGGGCGATGCTGCTGGACCTGGCCGTCAAGCGGCCCATGGTCAGGTCCAAAATCAAGGTAACCGCCCACACCCCAACCATCCTTCTCTGGCAATGGGGTGACCCCTGTTCAAGGTCAAGGCCTGGCTGCTGCCCGGGGACGCCGGGTGACAACAGTCCCTTGGGCTCTCCGGGCTAGTGGTGACAGCCTGCGAGAGCAGCTGTAGGATGGCAGCGGCAGGGAGAGCCTCGTAAGCGATGTGCCACAATCTTCCAGTGCCCTTTGCCTTCTCTTATCCTTGCCTGGGATGTGCTGCCCCTGACCTGCTTGGCTCGGGTCCCGCAGGAGCTCTGCACCCAGCCAGGAAGGACCAGCCCTGGCAGCTAGGAGTCATGCCCCATGGTGCGTGGGTGGATCTTGTTCCTCAGCGTGGGGCCTCCTTAAAAGCTGCCTTCTAGGTTGTCCTCAAGCCTTCACCAAGAAGGGCTGGGTGACCCTTCAGGCCGTCCCCCTCCCACCATGACCCATCAAGAAAGCATCAAGCCTTCACCAAGAAGGGCTGGGTGACCCTTCACGCCATGACCCATCAAGAAAGCAGCCAAAGGTTCTCCTCCACAGCTGTGAAAGAGCATTGCCACCTTGAGGTGGAGCCGCGGGCTTGGGTGAAATGAAGCAATCACCTGTTCACCGCCTTTGCTGAGGAGCCTCTGCTGCGAGGGCAGGAGCTCTGGCTGCTCCCTGGGCACAGCCAGCAGAGCAGCGCAGTGATTCCCCTCCCGAGGCTGAGAAGCCAAATTGCTCACGGTGCCTCGTGGTACCTGAGAATTCAACACCGAGCGAGTGCCGGACAGTGCCACGTCTCTCTCTGAGCATCCAGGGTCCCCTCAGCAGAGGCAGAGCCAGGCCACCGCAGCGCTAGGCAGAAGGAGATGTGTTTACCGCTGGTAGTTAACACCTCGTTAAACCCTGGCTGCTGCTTTGCTGGATGGAGCTGTAAAAATCACCATTGTCTGTGCCGGGCTGACAGCTTTTCAGTCACCGCGTTCTGAAGTCTCATGATTAGGTTTCACCCCGATTATATGCAGCTGCTTGAGGTGGAGTCACAGCCCTGTTGCCCAACAGATTCTTCCCAGATGGCTCCCCCTCCAGTTTCACACCTCGTGGTTTCACAGCTGCCGGGTTTTTTTAATCTTTCTTTACAATTTCGAGTAGCGTTCTTTCAATAGTAAGCAGAGGAGGAGGACAGGGAAAAATAACTGGCTCTTCAGGAAAAAGAGACCCCAGAGGTATTCCTGTCTTTGTGAAAAGCCCGCCCTGCTGCTGTTTGACTTTAACCTACTTTGTATAATTTAACCTGGGCTGTTTGTGACTGTCACAGCAAAACCTTTCAGCAGAGCTGGGTTTTTCAGCCGATGGATCTGTGCACGTGGTCCTGTCTGCTCTGCTGACTTTCCCTCATCCCTGGCATCTAACAGGGGGCATGTCCCTGTGTTCCACCAGGAATAATTAAACCAGCAGCCCAGTATTTACATTTTCCAGACATTAAGCCTTGCCTCTGAGGAATGATCTTCCCAGGAGCTGAATCATCAGTGTCTTCTTTAGTCAAATTATGTCATGGTGTTGGCGCAATGCTTTTGGTGCTAGGAGTGGGAATGAGATTACCCCCTAATGTCACTTTAGGAGGTTAATTTAGGCTGTTAATTAACGAGACTGGGACACCAACGGGGCAAGATTAGGGCCATTGTTTCAGTCTCTGCTGAGTCAGCACAACGTGCCTTGGGTTTATCTCTCCAAAACCACCTTTTTTTATCACTGCTGACTGGTTTTTGAGGGACCCGGAGCAGTTGGAGGCGTGACTAGTGAGGGCAGCACATAAAACAACTCCCTGGCGCCAGAGAGGACTTCCCTACTTCCCTTCTCCATCCAGGCTATCAGCGGAGTGCAGGAGCAGGCAAGGTGCTCACAGCCTAAGCCCTTGTGTTCATGGATGTAGCTGGATAAGGGTTGCTGCCCCTGGAAGGAAACCACTACACAGAATTTGTTTTAAGCCCTGAATCCAAGCTGGCCAGAGATGCCTCAGTCCCAAACTGTGCACATGAATTTCCCCCCACCTGATTACAAGGAAAGCGTGGAGGTTTCACCCAGCAGGAAAATCTTGGATGCTTTCACTTTTCATTTCTAATATCTCCCCCCCTTATTTTTTAATTTTTAATGCCACAATGAGCCCTGCTTGGTTTGCTTTATTCCTTCTGTTGGTCCATCCCAACGCTCACGCAGTGCTCTCCCACTCCCCAGTTCACCACTGGCACCTGCAGCGACGCTGCCCTGCATAGCTGCGAGCTGTGTGGCAAAGGCTTTCGCCTGCAGAGGATGCTCAACCGCCACATCAAGTGCCACAGCCAGGTGAAGAGACACTTGTGCACCTTCTGTGGAAAAGGCTTCAACGACACCTTTGATCTGAAGAGGCACGTCCGGACCCATACTGGTGAGAATGTGTTCCCTGGGGACCTCCAGGGAGAAGGGGTGGCATGGAACAAGGACGAGGAGAGGGTGAGGGCAGCCTGGCGAGATCATAACACGAAGCCCTGGTTAACAACATTTGCCAAAAATAGCGGGGGTGCCAAAAATAGTGGGGACCCCCCGGATAACCTGCCTGGGATAACCAGTGAATCCCTGCAGTTATCCTGCTCAGCGGGGAGTGGAGGCAGGAGCTCCGTGAAAACGCTTTGCCCTCTAGAGGCAACGAGCAGCAGTTCCCTGGGGATTTTGCTGTTGGGAGCCTTCCCAGCTGACTGCTGTGCAGGACGGGATTCTGGCTTGGTCTTGGAAATGTCTGGAGGAAGCAAAGTGTGGTTCATGCTGTGCCTCCCCCAGGCTGCAGAAGGTGCTGTCTGTGGCCACTCTGCTGAGTCCATCCCAAATCACAGTGGTTGTGTTTCTGTTGCCTCAAATCCAGCTCACTTTTCCCAGTTCTTACCCCAGCCCGGAGCAGGGAGAAGGCTGCCAGTTTGATTGGCTTTTTTTTCCCTTGGTGGAAGCAATGCCTTAAATATACATCAGCCCCATCCTCTCCAAGGGCAATGCTTCCTGGTGGGCTCAGCAGCTTTGAGCTCAGCAGCTTTGGCTTTGCACTGTTGGACATCCAGAAGGTGCATCCACCACATCTCACAGGCACGTCCCATCTTTCCAGATGTGTGGTCACTCAATGGGAACTGGAGATTATTTGGGCTTGCTCTGCAGAGCCCCATTAACCAGGTGAACTGCTAGAAGTGACACAAGGATGTTGGCAGGAGCTGTATCTTAGTATTGGAGCCCCCAAAAGCAATGACACCTGTTTGGATGGGAAGGCACTGCCTGGAGCCAATGTTTTGGGCTGCCTGGGTTTGTTTGCAAAGCTTTCGTGTGGGAAGGAGGGCTGCCACTGGGGTATGGCTGGAGTGTGGAGTCAGTGCTTCCAAAAGAAGCGATTTTTCAAGTTGTCTCCTCATCAGAGAGTCAGAAAATAAGTCCAAGAGGGTCTCTGGTCATAATGAATTAAAATGATTCCTAAATGATTTTAAATGATTCCTAAGCGATGAAGAGGTTCCCACAGCCCTAATGGGCTGCGCCATCCTGGCACTGCCCTTTCTTTGCTTATGTTCCTGTCTGTGGAGTGCTGGAGCAGGCACCAAGGATGGTGGGGGTTTAAATTGCCTTCAAATGAGCATGAAACTGCTTTTTGTGTGTGAATTCTAATGAAGGTTTGGGCTTTCTCTCCAACTGCAGTTTAATGGAAATAGAGCAATTTCACAGCAGCAGGCATTAGGAAACTTTTTTCTTGATAGTTTAATCTGGTGCACTGGGATGACCTCTTTTAACTAAACAAAAATGCAGTTGAGATGCTGCTTATTGGAACTTCTGATTAGCTTCGGTTTCTGGTAGGTAGATCAGGTCCTGACTGGTAACTCAATGCAATCACAAAATTACAACTGTCTGAGCAGACCAATCTGGTTTACACATTTCTGACTGGCTCATCATAGGATCTTCCAGACCCTGGCATTCCACCTTCCCTGGGGAAAAGAGGGGATTATGTGACTCCTTATATCAGTTTTAAGGGTGGTCTTTGCTTGGAAACTAACTGATCTAGTCTAGTAAGCAGAATTCCTGCTGGTTTGGGTTCTTTCAAGTGTTGCTAAATCCTCAGCTCTTTAAGCACTGGAGGAGTTGTTGTTAAATCAGTGTTGATTGGTGGTAAAATTGATTTTTGTGGTGTTGGTTGTCTGGGCTTTCAAATCAAAAGCCAGTTTCTTCTCCCTCCTCTGAAAACACACAGAGTTATTTCTTTCATCTTCCTGCGTTTCTCTAGAATTTGTAGTCTCAGTCCTCAAAACTGTATGGTATGAAAGCACTTGGGAGCTCTGGACATTCACTGCTGTTCACTGAAGCCTCGTTAAACCAAAAGAGAAAAATTGAAGTCTTACCAAGACAGAAGTTTTCATTCATTATAAAAGCTGAAACGGATAGTTTTACCTAATCAGATGATTTAAAATTGTCAGGGGTCTAAAATAAGTTTTGCAGAAGTTGTTAATGGCTGCCTTAGGGCCAAACCACTGATGGGCATCTGTTATCCTCAGCATCTGCTGAGGATAACACTCCTAGGTTTTCTATGCCTAAATATATAAACCCATAGCCTGAAAGGAGGATGTTTTGTTTAGAGAGGCAGCTCCTTGGGCTGCTGGATACCATGTCAGCAGCTGATGTGTCAGAGCCTTGCTCTTGGTTGGCTGTGGGAAACAAGACACAGGTGACACAACAGGTAACATATTGTATTTGCAGGGACCCTCACGGCAGGGAGGAATGATGCATCTGACTCCAAGTTCTCAAATGGCTAATTTATTACTTTATGAGACTATATAATATTAAAGAATACTATATTAAACTATACTAAAGAATACAGACAGGATATTTACTGAATGCTAAAAAGCTAATAATGAAAACTTGTGACTCCAGAGTCGCAACACAGCTTGGCACTGATTGGCCAATGAGTGAAAACAACTCACACCAGAACCCAAAGAAAAATCACCTGTGGGTAAACAATCTCCAAACACATCCCACACGTGAGCAAAACACAAGAAAAGCAAATTAAATAATAATTGTTTTCCTTTTTCTCTGAGGCTTCTTAGCTCCCTAGAATTAAAATCCCGGGTGAAGGGGTTTTTCAGAGAATGCCAGTGCCACAGTAACCCTGCCTTTCCCCGCTGCAGGCATCCGTCCCTACAAGTGCGAGGTGTGCAACAAGGCCTTCACGCAGCGCTGCTCGCTGGAGTCGCACCTGAAGAAGATCCACGGTGTGCAGCAGCAGTACGCCTACAAGCAGAGGAGGGACAAGCTCTACGTGTGCGAGGACTGCGGCTACACGGGCCCCACGCAGGAGGACCTGTACCTGCACGTCAGTGGCGTGCACCCCGGCAGCGCCTTCCTGAAGAAAACCTCCAAAAAACTCGCAGCTGTTCTGCAAACCAAACTCAGCCCCGTCCTGCAGAGGAACTCCAAAGAGGACGGCAAGGACGAGTGACACCGGTGGCGCTCGGGTGGCGCTCGGCGGGAATGAAGTTTACATGTAGGACTACGTATCTTATTTTTTTAAGAACAATTTTGAAAGAAACGCCTTTGAAATTAAAGGGATGCTTTCTGTTAACTGGACTTTCTTGATTTTGGTAAAATCTCAGCTTGACAGAAATATTCCCATTTGTGATGGAAACATCAGACTTTTTTTTTTTTATCTGGCCAATAAAAACGGAATGCTTGCAAAGGCTGTCACCTCTCGGATGGAGTGTTTACTGAGCTGACATTTGGGTAGCCTGTTTTCTGTTTCAGCTCTGCCACAGGTCTGAACGCCCCTGACAAAGGAGTTCACCTTTCCCCAGGTGTATTTGTGTTTTGTAAAGTTAATAACTGCTACCTCCCATGCCAATTGCCTATGAGAGGTCTGGGTGAAAAGTGTTGGGTAAGAGCGCTGCTGGTACACTGCTCTATGCAACATTAATTGAAGTGCCTTAATAACAGGAGTGCATTTTATCATCTAATGAGTTACAAAGTGCAAACACCCTCAGCTCTGCCCCTTTGCAGTCTGCTAACAATTTCTGGAAGTGTGACCCAAGGTGAGTTGAAAATCTTCCCAAAGATGCAGAACATTTTCTTTTCAAAGTTTCTCTACTAGCAAATGGCATTATTCTAGGGCAGACTTTGGTTGTGTCTTAAGTACTTGAAGCCATGAATTTTCTTTTATTATGTTGATATACAAGTGAAATCTTAGCTCTGATGTTCCTGGACTTGCTGTGCTCACTTGGATTATTACATCTTTTTAACATACACCAATAGCAACCCAGAAACCCAAAGAAAGTAGTGTAATTACTTGAAATTAAGTGTTTTCTGTCATGATGAAATGCAATTTTGTGCATATTTTATGGTGTGTGTGTGTTTGGGATTTTTTTTTTTTTGTCTTTTATAGTCAAGTGCCTGTTCATTAATACAACAATGCAGTGGAAAGGGGGACTGAGCCTGTGTCTGCTTCAGGAGATCAGTGCAAAACTGCAGGCACCAATCTAGCTGTTCCTCTGTGACCACGCCAAGTGTAGAAGGCTCCTCCCACCTAAAATACCAAGTCAGGCTTAGCCAGCATTTTCACAGTCATTGCTGCTAAAATGAGACATTTTGAGCAACTTTGCAAGAAATGTAAAAAAAACCTTTTCAACTTGCTTCAGTTTTGTACAGGCACCTGCTTGGGTTTTTTGTGGGGAAAAGGTTCTAGGGGTCTTAAAGGATTCCTAAGGATGTTAATGCTTTATTCAGCACAACTGTTGGTGCTCAAGACCTTGAAAATGAGGATAATAAAGTGATGCTACTGTGTTAAGAACAAACTTATCCTATCTAGCAGGAAAGTTTGTAGAATACTTCAATACATGGGAAGTTGCTGGGGAGAAAAAAAAACATCTGAGGTAAATGAGAAGATCCTGACTTTGCAGAAAGCTAAAGCTCTCTCTGCAATGGGATTAATGTTCACCTGACTGCATGGGATGTGTGCTCAGCTCTGCTGAAGCCTCAGCCCTTCCCCTGGCTCAGCAGGGCTGGGGCTGAAGCCCTTCCTCTCCAGCCAGAGACAAGTTTTGTGTGTGTACCTGTGTGCACGGGTTGGGTTTTTATCCCTCCTGCACCACGTGTTGCTTTTGCTCTCCCTCCAGTGTCACTGCCACAGCACATCCCTGCTGACAGAACCACAGGCACAGTGAGCTGGGCACAGAAAGGATTCACAACAAAAGAGAAAGGGAGCAGGGAAAAAGCCATCCTGGATGGAGAGCGAAGCCCTGGGAAGCTGGATGTCAGAGCTGAAGTAACTGCCCTGGCTGCCCAGCAAGTTTTTGTGCAGAGGACAGACAGTGCCTGCAGCAGTGCCCGGGGTGCATCACTTTAACAGTCTGGCAACTTCACTGAAACTGGTGACAAAGTGTGTTTGGGTCGGTGTGACACTGGTGACAGGCACCTGCCAGTCCTGGTACAGGACAAACCAGCTTGTGCTGCTCCAGCAGAGCTCCACAGCTCAGCCAGGGATGCCCAAGGCAGCAGCCAGGCTTCAGAAGTGCCAGACCCGAGTGACTCCCACCACTGCTGTCTTTTGGAGGCTGGCTGCCTCCTCCTGGCTCTCTGAGGTACAGACTCAGCTGGGACTTAGGTTTACAAACTGGCTTTGCTGGCAGCCTTCCTCAGGCACGGGGTTCTGGCTGATTTTCTTGAAGCTTAGGCATTGGTCATAATTTTATTTGTAAGCTGCAGTGTTTTTGTGAAAACTCACACATACAATTCATGGAAGACAAAGAGAATGAAGAAAAAATAATTCTAGAACAATACTGCCTGACACAATCAAGGCTTATTCTCTGCTTTACAAACTTGATTTTATATGTTTCAAAAGTAAAAATTCTGTTTCAAAACGTTTATTCACAAACTTATTTGGAAAAAACCAAACAAACAAAACAATAAAAAACAAAGAGAAACCCGTAAGAAACAGCCCCCAAAACCCAACCAGCAGCTCTTCATCCCTCAGAAAGCTCTGCTTCACACTGTGGTGGGCTCTTGTTGGCTCAGGCCCACAGCAGAGTCAGGAGAGCCCAAGGCAGTGGCAGCACAGAGCTCCCAAGCCAAGGCACACAGCCCATCCCACAGACCTCTTCTGTGGGCTGGGTGTTAAAAAGCCTGCAGGAGGAGCCAGTAGCAGCAGCCAACATTCCCACCTCTCAGAACACTCGCTGGAAATTTCTGGGAGTGCTGGCTCCAATTCTGCTCCTCTCTTGCTGAGCCACTTCTGCTAAGTGGCCACTTTGCTGTACTATTCTAAATAAGAAGTAATGAGGACTTTCATTGTAACTCTCAGCACAGGTTTTCCAGTTGTAGCTGTAAGAAAAACCACAAATAAGAACAAGCCTGATGATGGCATGAGCAAGAACTGACTGAAACCCAGTCTTCTTAACATTTGCATTTCTCTCAACATTTCTCTCAGCTCATACATCTGAGATATTGTTTTGCTTTAGTTCACCAACTTAATTTTTAAAGACATAGTTCTTCAACTTTTTTTTTTCCTCAAAAATCACAAAAGAAAAATGATCAAGCAGTTTTACTTGATAGTAGAAACTTCTACCAACCCCAGGCTGTATAAACTGTGTGGGATAAAAAAGAGAGGCCAAATAAGTTGGGGTTTTTTTCTCCCTGGACCACTGAGGTCACCTACAATATAAGGAAATAGATATTCCCTATTTGAATGTTACACACCTTTTTGGGAGGGGAGACAGGGGAGCCCGGGTAGTAAAAAATTAGCCAAAGTCACTCAAATAAGAACATGAAAGTGGTACATTTAAACAAAAGGTTCTTCCTTTGTCTCTTCCTTTGTCTCTGGCCACTTGCTTGTGCTTAGTGTGGGTCAGTTTTTGTCCTTGTACTCCTCCAGGCGCAAGAGCCACTTATTCCAGTACTGAGAGCACAGGTCAGGGTCCATGAAATGCGGGTGCGCCGGAGAGCCGTCCTTGTAGGCAACCACAATGAGCCCACAGCGAACCTGCAGCACAAACGGGGCTGTCACAAACCCTACAGCTGTGCAAGCCCAAGGGCTAAACCCCACTGCAAAACATCCTCCTAACATACACATCTCACATAAGAAACGGGGAATAAAAAGGGGTAATAGTTTACCATAAAGTACTTGGAGACCTAACATTCAAATGCTCCAAAATCCCTGAGCCCAAAGCTGGGTAACTCCAGTGAAAACCAGGGGACATGAACTCTGAGGATGAGTGATATTTAAACCCTGCAGATGCCAGGAAAATTGCCAGAGACTGAGGAGTTTTTGCCTGGGGCCATACAACCAGACTGATGCCACCTTCCAGCTTCAGTCTGGATAGAAGTGGTTACTTAGGTATGTTCTGACATCTTTCATACCTGACAAATCCCAAATCCCAAACAGCCACTGGCAGTGGGGGCAGCAGGAAGCTACTAGCAGAATTCCAGCCCATATTTCACTCTGTCAGGATCATGTCTCTGGAGTGCTTGTGCTCCCTGACCTCTACAGTATCCTAGGAAGTCCTATGCACAGCATACAAATTACTCTGCTCTCTTCTGCTTCTTATTTTCCCCCTTCAATATCTGTACTCAGGTAAAAATCCTTCAGGCCAAGCAGGCAGGCTAGAATTGCTTTTGGAGTCTTTAAAAATATTATTCCACAGTCTTCTGATGAAGTGATTCCCAACACATTGCTTTTCCCTGAGGAAGTACAGCTTCCAGACACCAAGTGCATCCCTAGTCCCTCATTTGCTAGTGGGACACAGCAAGACAGGATGCAGGCAAGACCCTCCCATACCATTTTCTTGTTTGCAGGTTCTTTTGCTTTATTTCCTCTCCTGCCCCTTCCTACTCTTGACACAGGCAAAAACCACACAGGACAGAGCACAGGGGATTGCCCACATGCCAAGTACCTGGGAGTTCATCTGAGCATCCCTTGGTCCCACTGAGCACTTCCTTAAAACCACTGACAATTCCCTACTGGCAGCCAAGGGCAGCAGGATTAGCAGGAGTAGTGGAATTATTTCACAGTATGGCATCTTAACCTGATCTCAGACTGGGCTCCTTTGTTACAAATCCTACCAACACTTCCACGATGGGCAGCAGGTTCTAAAGGCAGGAAGAAATGAAGATCACACAGGCATTGCTGCTTGTCTTGGCGTGCAGCAGGCTTACTGACCTGGAAGTCATAATTGGCATCATGATTTATGGCTCCAATATATGCTGCAACCTGTAATGGGTTGTCATAAGTATTCTGCAGAGATGGCTTTGGCTTCTCTGAAGTTTTCCAGTCAATCACACACAGCTGGCCCCTGCACAGGAGAACAAGACAGGACAACGGTTTAAACTTAAGTTTAGTCTCAAGTAAGAAATAAGGGAGACAGCACATAAAGACTTTTCACTCTCAGCCAGTTTCCCCCTGATGTCACGTTGCTCATTATTATGACTAAACAAGTCTCTTTCACACTGGCAGTTTAGATCCCAAAAACCAAACTAGAACTAGTTTACACAAACCTGCCACTGTTCCTGGAAATGCTGACAATTGCTTAAACCCGTCCCTTCTGCAGCAGGGAGCTCCCCACCAGGAAAAACAGCACTTCTGCCATGAGGATCATCCAGGAAAGCTCCTCCAGCCTCTCCTAGAGCTCTGCCCAGCTTCCGCCAGCCACTCAACCACACCCTGGCCCCCACAGCATCCCATGACAGGAGTTTTAGGGAAGGGCACCTCACCGATACTTGGCCACGCAGTCGACCAGGCCCAGGTACTGCAGGGTCTCGTGGTGAACTCCACTCTCCAGAGCCTTCACCTCATGGATGTCTTCCAAGACATGCTCCACACTGGATAAGTAGCCAGCCACGACATCATCTTCACCCTGGTCCCTAGCTGCTGTCTCCTCAGACAGGAGTATCGATTCCAAAGCTGAATGGAAGAGCTCTCCTTGGAGAAAAAGATCTAAGAAAAATGGGAAAACCCCCTCACATTTTAGACACTACTTTAGATTTGTATCCTACATATTCCACAATGTAACTCTTAAACCGGTCACAGTTTTTGTACTTAAAGTCTGAGGGTGTGGGGAGAAGGGAAAGAAACAGAAATAAATAATCAATAGTGAAATTGGTATCCCTTATTATATTAATGCTTCCTTTACTTTTTTAGTCTCACTGATTACTCATACATACACTGGATAAACCAAACAGCTACTGAAAAACCTCACCATAAACAGCAGGACACATTGGTTGTTAAACACTCGGACTGTAGGAGTTCAAAATGCCTATTTCCATCTTGTTACAAAGTAGCTTTGTAACTGCAAAGAGGCTCAGTAACATCATCTGGAAAATACCTATTTCTAATTAGATACTGGCAAATCGAGAACTAAAGGAAAGTCAGACAGGATTAAGCAAAGTAAGCCTACAG